AACCAAAACAATTTAAAAAGCAAATATCAAATGGGATTTTCAAGAATTCTGAGAAAGGTTTAAGGTAACTAACATAGGGAATGTTCATAAATCAGTATTAAAAAAGCTGAAATCCGTGAAAATAAATTTATAGGTTCTAATATCTTCAACTCAGCCTTGATTAAATTTCAAGTTAAAACCAGAGTCCCCAAAGCTTTTGACTTTTTATTCATTTTCCAAGAGAATGGCAAACTATTGACCCAAGTGATTTTGAGAACAGAAAGCACTGGATTAATCATTAGCCTCATTTAATAGATAAGAAAGGTTAGTGAATGTTTACATATCAGTTACTATACAATATAAATTAAATCTCTTCTTATTTTATGTCATGTCACAATGAAGTTGATCCTCTGGTCATCTATTATTAAAAAGGTAAATTTTTCTGTAATAGTGACAAGCTTAATAGTTTCTAAGATTATTGACTTGAAACCTTGAAACCATGAGTGTTATAGCAAACTACCTTTGATAAAGTGTTTGTTTCAAAAAATACTGTGTATGATCAAAGTTGAAATGGTTTGTCATAGGAAGCAGATTTGAATCATTAACCTTATGATAATTAGCTCTTGACTATGACCTTTCTGATCTACTGCTACTTGACTCAACAGTTAAAAGCACAGTTTATTCTTTTAGAATTTAAGAGGATCCCTAATGTAAAAATTTAAAAAACAAGTTTAATAAGGGTTATAAAATAAAATATTTTCATATAACTTTTTTGTAAAACTAGAAAATCTTACATATAATATTGAATGAGAAGATCAGAATGAAAAATTACATAGTACAACTTAAAAAAATTAAGTGCTACATTTGACTAAAAGATCTAAAGGAAAACATACCAATATGTTTAAGTAAATATTTCTAGAGTTCAAGATTATGAGTAATTATTTAAAAAATTCTCTAAAATTTTCTCCAGTGAATGAACATTCTAATCTAAACAAACAAACAAACAAACAAACAAAAAATAACAACAAAAAAACTATAAAAAAGCAAAAGAGGAAGAAAAAAATGTTGTCTTCTAGAAGTTGAACTTCCTTCATAGGGAAGAACTTCATGACAGCAGTCTGCCTCATAAGAGAGAACCATCGCTGAAAGTTCAGACTCCATCATCTTCTGAAGAATGCTTTAGAAATCCTGGGGTAATGGGAGGTTGGACCATTACTAATTGGCTCTAGGATTCTGAGTCTCAGGAGACTTCTACGAACTATTGCCTTATAAATTTTATTTAGCCTAGCTAACAGTTTTGCTTTTCATGTCAATTCAACTTGCCTTTTTTTCATTTGATTAGGCTGTGAATAAATGAAGGTCATATGGATCTAGGCCCCAAATACACTCCCCATATATGATTATTTTTACTTAAGTCTGGTGACAAGAATTACTTTTTAGTTCCCCGTGGAACTAGCTAAACCATATCACCTTCTCTTATAAGATATAGCTTAAAAAGATCTACCAACGTTATTCTAGACATTTTAAGAACTGGTTACTATGTCCTAGTTTCTTTAGAACCCCTGGCTTAGAACTGTGTGGACTCAGGAATCTTGAACTTCTATCTCTCTATTCTAATTGGATTTTATTCTGCTTAATTTCCCCATTTTGATATTGTTGGGAATAGATACAGTATACATTTATAATTTCAAAAATAATTTTTTCGTATTTTGCCTTGATGAATAGTAAGTTTTGTTTGTTTGTTTGTTTGTTTGTTTTGGCTAGGAAAATTATATAAAGGGGATTCACCTTCATTAAAATCTCATGGTCCTGTTATGATGTTGATTTTCACATAAAGTGTCAGTTTGGCCATGGAAACTTTTTCTTTGAGATATTCTTTTCATATTTCTGGTAAGTCTATTGCCTTTTTTTCATATTTGTTTGTGTATTTTTTTTATTGTGCTTTGTTAGGAAGAATATGTTACCAAATAAGTAGATTGAAATTCTCTATTTTATTTGTGAGCTTTCAGGGTAGAAGACAAAGACAATATTTAAAGTTCTGACCTCTGTAATCTCTGGAGGCCTCAAACTAAACCTCTTTAAAGAGTAAGATTGATCAAAGAGCATTTGAGATCTTGCTTCCCAGCAACTGTCATCAGTTGGGGCTCAAATAAACTCTTATAAAAACTGAAGAAAAGAAAGGAAAATTGATCATATTTTCCAGTTTTTCTTACAGCACGTAAGAATTTTGCTTGTTTTTCTGGACACTTGGAATATTCTAACAATACAGTAGGAATATTTTATCCCTATTAAAAAAGTTTCAAGTAGTTTTTCTCTTTTCAAATTAATTTCCTTAATGTGCTAATATAAAGAATAATTAGTTCGTTTTTGTTTTTTTTTTTTTTACCCGTT